TTTTTCCCTAGCACCATAATGTGCTATTTGTTCTTCAGTTATTCTGAAGATTAACAAACAACCCCCCCAAAAAAAACCCTCAAACTCAATAATACTAATATAAACAAATGATTTTTTATCTTAATGATATGTGACTATTGGTTTTGATGAGTATAATATTTATAATATTTGTGCTATACTATTTATACTATTGATATTATCATAATAATATTACTATTGTTAGCATCTTCATCACCATAATCATCATCATCACCATCATCATTATCCTATCAGTGAGGTTGCCCCCCTACCACACCTCTCCCCCCACCACTACCACCCATCACCACCCAACTGGTTCCACAGCCCTCGCAGCTAAGTTTATTTGGTAGCTTTATGTGGCTAGGTCAAAGTTGCAGGAGGAATTCCAGACACACTCCACGGGTTTTCCTGGAGCGATATAATGACCTGTGTTCTGTACTCTAGGTCCGCCTGCCTTTCTCCAAGTGAAATCCAGCTCCAAGGGCCATCTGCCAGCACAGATCCATGGAGACGCGACCAGGCTTTATCCAAGGGATGTGGTAACCTCTGCTGGCAGCTCCTTGCTCTTACACCGGCTCAGATGCTGCTAGAAGCTTGTAGCTGAGCAGACAAAAAGGCATCAGATGAGGTATATTACATTTGCTTATTCATACTTTTGTAGGCATTTGCTACTACAGAGGATTGGAATTTTTTAATTGGATGTGTATTTTTAAGGCATCGGTGATTTAGATAAATTAGGACCCTGTTCACCCATGTGTGAACATGTTTATTTCCTCAGACAGCACAGCTTGTGTTACCAAGCAGGTCTGTAACTGTAGTTTGCAGTTAAGCTACATTTTTCTGTTTGAAGATGGAGATAGAGCACAGCAAGTGTCAGCTCACATAGCTTTAATAGATTTAATGCATGTGATCATGCCAGGAATGCTACCTATTTTTAGTGTTTAAACAAATGTGTCACACCTGTGACTTACACCCAGCCTTATCCCACTCCTTCCAACAGTGATACTGCACACCTGTGTCAGACAGACACGAGGCATATCACTAGGTACATGAAAGGCTCCAGGTGGAGCCATGGCCAAAAGTTGTAGGAACTACAAATACTGTCTTTTTGCTCTGAGTTGTTTCAAATCTAAGCAGATTTTGGGCAGGACAGGAACAAAGTGCAGGGAACTGACATGATTCCCACTTACCTTGATTCTTATTAGTCTGTCTCACTCTGTAGGTGCATGCAGAGACAGCAACACGGGATAAATGGGAGCTGGATTTTATTGGAAGCTTCCATTAAACTGGCAAGAAATCAGGTGGTAGTCTTCAACCACTAACAGCAGAAACAGATTAATTGTCATCTCATCTCTGGCAAACCTAACACTTGCCTCCCATTCCATTTGCAACTATAGCTTGTGGTCCTCTATTCCTTTAATTAAATACCTAATAGAAAAGCTTCTACAGGGCAAGATCTCAGCCAGGATTAATTTCTTCATTTTCTCTACTCTGCAACTTTGTTTTCTGTTACCATAGGCAGCAAACATGCTTCAGACTGAAGGTATCCTGAGAATTCCTGCTTAAAACATAGACTTCTAATCTACTAAACCCATGATTTCTAGGAAAAAAGCTGTGGCCATAGGTCTGCCTGGAAATGAAAAACATCATGTAGACAATGTGCATGTTGCTACAAGTCAGCCTTTAATTGACCAAAAATATTAGATAGAACTGTTTAATTAGACATGGATCAAAAATGAAGAACTAAGTACTTTCCCATCATTCCCTGCAGGTTTTGAAGTTGGCACTTTTCCCCCTCTGCATATAGTTAGTTGTTTGCCTCGGGTTGTAAAGAAATGCAGAGGGCTGTTATTAAAGCACCGATAATTTGCTGAACTCCATCTTTTGTGGAACTTGCTGAGTTAGAAAATTCCTTTTCACCTCCTCCCCCACCTCTCCTTGATAGAATAACTGAAGAACAAATATCACATTATGGTGCTGAGGAAAAGGATTGAGTGTGTTTGCAGCTAAGTGACTACCACAAGACAACAAATCCTACAGCTCAAGCCTGTCCAGCTAAATGACAAGGGAAATAAAAAAAGCATTTGCTTTCTAAAAGCAGATCAGAACGAAGAGTCAGGTTTAGGAATTGCTGTACTTAGTGCTTTATATTCAGAAATTGATTCCTAATATGGTTGTAGGAAGTTCTCCAAGTGGTTAGAGCCTGAACACATACAGGAGATAAAGAATTGCCATTGCAGTGAGTGAGATTGAGAATGCAGAAGACACGATACCAATTCACCAGCTGTTCAGTGATGCCTCAAGTCAGAATTCTGCTTTTGCCATTCTGTAACTCCAGACCATCACTGTAAGAATCTGTATCCAGTTCCCATGTGCCATCCCAATGGAGCAGTACAGCAGGTTCTTTCCATGCCAATGGCTCAAGTTTAAATTTGGCAGAGACAGCAGTTAGCACTTTCCCCTTACTGTTTCCAAATTGGTACAGGTAAATCCTATACCTGTTCCTCATCACATGTCAGTTGCTACCATTTTCCACTAGCATTAATATTCTTGTAAACTACAGAAATCAAGGAGTACAGAACCCATCCAATTATCCCCAGCACTGACCTCAGTGCAGATAAGCAGAGCTCGTCACTCCATCAGGTGCTCTCATTAAATCTGCTGCCAAACACAAGACAACAACCCTAGTCTCAGCTGACAAATGGAAATGACATGTCAGACAACCACAGAAACACCAGGCTTTTTTTCTAAGAGGGATGGATATCACTTAAATCACACAGAAGTATTATCAAGAAGCACAGATTTGACATTTCTCACTGTATCTTCCCAACATGAAGCAATCATTTGCATTTCTTTCTCTGCTCAATCCACTTTTGCAAAGGGCCTGATCTTTCTGTTAATGATTGATAGAAGCATGCTCTTGTCTTGGATGAAAATGAAATAGGGTTCCTGTTTGCCTCTACTTGCTTACCTTAATCACACCTACTCAAGTGAGTGTCCCTCTCTGCTCCACTGCAGTCTTCAGCCTTATATTTTGGTATAGTTGCCTTCAAGGAAAGACATGAGAACAAGCAGCATTTTGGAACACGATTTTTTAATGACTTAACATATAGTATAGACACTAGTTGAACAGCTCAACAACCAGGGAGAGAGGATGCAGTTGCTGTCTCACAGAATAGACAACAGCCACAATGCAATTCTGATCACATCTTGCTTTCCCAGGAGAGAAAGGGTCAGGAATTCCCACTAATGTTGTCTAAATTAGGTTGGTTCTTATGATTTCTTAGAATTCCTGCTTCAAGCAGTGGTATCACCTGCTAATGAAGGAATTAATATCAACTTGGAAAAGAAAGAGCAAACCATCAGTATCTGATCTCGTCAGTCACGGTGCAAAACCATCAAGTGCTGGAATGATATCATAGACCAACCTGATGGACGTCCCTAAGGAAAATGGTTATGAAGTGCTGGAACAGGGGTGAAGAATGTGTTTAACACCGAGCAGTAACCTCTGCTACCCTCTGAAGACAGCATTTCACACTGCATCTTCACACTGTACTATGTCTGCTGCAGCGAGTTGCCATAGGATGGCAGCAAAGGGGAGACAGACTTTCAGCTGCACCGACTGCTAATGCCAAAGCTCTTCAGCTTTTGGAAAAACAAGATTTCCAAGAGAATCTGCTGATGGAACCATTATTTCACTTGCTGACATCTGGGAAAGAACAATGAAAACAATGCAAGTAGATTTTATCAGATGGCTGGTACTGCATCTTGTTTATATCTCATCTAATTGCAGTAGCATTCTACACATCTTTTGCACCACTCCACCACTGTTTGGGTTTTGTGTGGGTTTTTTAAAGCATCTGTAGATTTTTATCTACATTTTTATTTATTATTTTATGCAGTTTAAACAAGCATACACAAATTCAAAGTCATGGAGAAGGATGGGGTAAAAACAAGAGAAATGAGGCTCTGCATATAGAAAAGAACAGCCCAGTTTAGTCCAGCACTTGGACTCGGAGGGGGAGTACAAATTTAGTCAGCATTTTACAGGTTCTTGTCTGTGTTGTGTGGCCTTACAAGGGACACAATTTAAACTGCAGCTTTAGAGAGCTAGGAGAAATTGTGGGAGAACCAATGCTGTTCTAGCTCATTCTGATCAGACCAAAATTCCAGAGTAGCAAGTATGTCAAACAGCAGATCACAAAAACGACTGTTCAGCCGAGCTCATGCAATACGGTTGTCCTCAGAGGGCTTGCACCATGCTCTGACATTCTAATTACTTCATGCACAAGGACATCATTAAACTGATGTCCCAGAACAACTCCACCCTTTTGCCTCCTGCACAACCAGGAGTGAAGTACATTTGAATTCCCAAGGCCTGAACAAGTTCAAGCAAAGAAATCTTCAGTGCTCCCAGTCAGCAAGTGGACTAGCAGAGAGCTGTTTACAAAACTAAGACTCCTCTTTGAGGAAACTGCTGCAGAGTAACAAGGAAAGTGTTTACAGAAAATAAACATCCCATCCTAGGCAGATCCCTGATCTTCTCTCCTGCTATGGGACTTTGACAGAATAACAACTCCATTGGAGTTCTGAATGGTTTAAACTCACTAAGTGGAACGTAAGCACTATAAGAGACAAATCCCAATACAATTCCTTTCGTCTAAGGAGGAGAAAAAAACAACCAACTTTAGTCAGGATCTAAAACATCCTTTCTAGCTGACATAGCAGAACAGGGACTGAAAGGCATCAACAACTAGCTATGCAAAGCATCAATACTTCCAGCTAGTAATCCATATAAAATGAATAAATAATTCATAATTACATATGTAGTGTACACCATGCATGTCAAGCAGTGTTCCAGAGAGAGAAGCACAGCAGGCATGCTTTGCTCTCTGAAAGCAAAAATCCTCCAATTATTGCTGTCACTCTGGAAAGTCTTCGGACTGCAGAGACACAACTGAACCTCCACGTACAGCTGCAAAGCTACATTAGATATTTTTCCCATGATGTTATATAGCCTAGATTGACTCCATGCATCCTAAAATTTAGATGAAGCATTCCAAGAATGGACTGGTACTGTAGCACAGTACCAGCACTCCAATGCAGGTGCATAACCGAAGGAAGCAAGACTCAGTCCTAGAGAAGCTCCTTGCTTACTCTGTACACCTCTAGGTTTGCCCCCACACACAGCAGAAGCCATTTGCACTGAGGCTCTTGTAAAGCAACAGCTGTTGCCTTGTGCTTTTGGATCCAAGTCTCCAGTTCCTTCGCTGTGTTGCTCAGACCATGCAGCTTTCAGACAGGCAGGAGCTCAGGAGGATACTCCCCATAGCAGTATTTGGCAATTGGATCTCTGTAGGTGTTTTCATGCTGCACACTCTGTCAGAGAGAGGAGGAGAAGCTTTAACAATACACACAGAGTGAAACAAGACATCCCTTCACTGAGGGCCAAAACCCACAGCACTTACATGTGTGCAAAACAAATCTGCACTACCAACATGCAAGAAACAGTTGCTAAATTACAGCACTTTAATGTTGAACCATACCCAGAACCTCCTTTGCAGGAAACTACCCAAGCAGGTGGGAACAGATTCAATAATGATAAATACATATATATACACTTAATTCAATAATGATAAATACATATATATATATATTGGCAGTATCATCAAATATCCTAAGCAAGCAAGGCACAATGAAGTTCCTACTTGGGCTGTGTGCATTTTGATGTTAAAGCCAGAGTTCAGATACTGTGGAATAAAAAAATCCCAACTTCAGAGACATTTGGAACAAAGTCCTTTGTTTGCAGTCCATCCCTATTGCCACATTAAGTACTCAAGCTCATGACATTGCCAACATAACTTTCTAAGAGGGAAAGTTTTGCTTTCTATGAGAGAAGTTTTGCTTAGACCAAAACTTGTAGTAAAATCACATGGGTAACAGAAGTTCATCTCTGTTCTTAAAAAGCAAAAAAAATTACAACATAGTTTTTTAGTTTCTATGAAGATGATTGTCAGCATATGGTAAGTTTCCAATGATAAATAGCACTCTGAAGCTACTGGGAACAGCTCTCACTGTTCTTATCCTTCTAGGATCTTCTCCAGGATGCATCCAAGATCTTCATTGGTCATTGAACTCAGAGAGTCTCTTTTTGGTTAAGTAACTCTTTTCTAAAGCAAGTGTGCAACTCTTCCTGCTCTAAATATGCATTTTGCCTTCAGATTAGCTCTCAGTCACAGCTTCAACATGCATGAGAACACCCATGTACATGCACGTGTGACACACCAGCCACTGATTGGACTGAGCCCCATTTCTCAAGGGCACTTTTTTGGGCCCTGGACATATACCTGAGCCTTACCTGTGATGAAGTCCTGCATTTTGCCAAACACAGTTCAAAGTGATCTTCCACTGCCATGAAGAGGTTTTGGAAAGCAATTGCTGCTCGGTTCAGGAAACGTTCCAGGACGTGTTGCTAAAGTCAGCAAAAGAGACAACAAAACTCAGAAACACCATACTTCAACGAGGAGTAACCAAAGCCCACCCTAACCTACACAGCTCAGGTGTCAGAGGAATAGTGAGCAACTCTACTTCAGATTTCTAGCAAGCACTGAAAGGCTAACACATCACAGAACCTCAGCAGTAGGAACAGAATCTAGAGGAGCTAATGGAACACAGGGAAGTGCCAATTACAAAATTGATACTGGCTGGAATAACTTCTCTGCAATCATTTCCCTTCAGCAAATGCAACTCCCCTGAAGCTGCAACTCTTTGCAAGGCTCCCAATATTTCCTCTCAAAGGTGGAAAGGATCAATTTCTTTAAAGCTTTATTTATAGCTTGCCATATGGTCCTTGTAGGCTTTCCTTATCTTTCCAAGAAAGGGAATTGTCCCCTCTAAGGAAAAAGCTCTTCATAAACAAAGGACAGAGGAACCTGAGCAGCTGAGAACACCTGAAAGCAGGAGAAAGCCCATGCACCTTGCTGGGCTGCAGGCAACAGGACACGCAGTACTCGTAGACACTGCAGCAGCCGTTGGGAAGACAAGTGTCACAGCTGTACAGCTTTGTGCTGGGCACATTGACATTACAACAGCCATTCACCAGCAGGTCCTTCCTCTCACAGATGTAGCCTGAAAAACAACAACAGGAGTAACAACTGGCAAAGCATACTGCTCTGTATGTCCTACAGAAATCTACAGTAAGCATTGCATTGCTTAAGAACAGTTTTATTTGTCATTTAGTAGATTATGATCCCTCTCAGTCTGACTCTGAGTAGCAATTCTTAGTAATGACACCTGGACATGGAGCAGTGTTTCAATCAGCACAACTACTATGTCTTACTCTTGTATGTAAAGCATGAGTATTTAAATGCAGAATACTTAAGTTTTGGTTTCCTTCTGGCATAATTTTTTGCTGTGAAAGGGGACTGGCGACGATTGCACTGCAAGAAACTATGACTCACGTTCTTTCAAGAGGTCTATGTCTGGATAACTCTTTACAGCTCAATATATGAGGAGACTTAGATTTATCCATGCAGGATAGCTTTAATATTCATTGTTGAGTGGAATCATTAATGGTATAGAAGCACAGTGTATATCCTTACAGAAACTGTACTGCCACAGGGTTAGACTGTGAGAGAGAGCTGTGATTTCAGAGTCCTCAGTGAATCAGCGATGAGCGTAAGTCAGGCAGTGCCAAATTTAACATTGATGCAAATTGCAGATGTGGTGGGTTTTACACATCCTTGATTTCTGGCCCAGAAGATCCAGTGCCTGAGCAACAACCACACTGGGGAAACATATGTGCAGGGCAGGAAAGGCTCTTTAACACTTAAAACAAGTGGTTAATATCCTTAGGTTTACCAGGGTCAGATGAGCTTGTTAACTGTGACTGAGCACTAATTACACCAGGCCTGAGCTGCCTCCATACAAAGCCAATCAGGTTTCCCCTATGATGGTCCCTAACATCCCTGAGAGTAGGAATACACTGCAGGGAGATACAAACAGCTCTGCAAACTACCACAGTAAATTGAGCAGCACTCAACATTTGGGTTCTGTGCAAAGGTAACTGGAATTCTTTGACTCTAAGGTGGTCCTGGATGTAGGACAGCCACACTCATACAGCACCGGGCCCAAGCTGAGCCTGCTGTGCACAGAACCAAACCAGCATTCAGCCAGAGGGGAAAATGCCTCAATAAAGAGCAGTTAGACATGAAAGTGGCATTCAGCACTGCCATACACAGAATAAATTCTTAATATCAAGTATACCCAGTTCATCTGTGATGAGGAGCTTCCCCTGCACAGAGTTCCTGCACTGGTTACTCATCTGGCTGCTGTTTCCTGAGCTGAACTTCACCTTCCACAGGATCTGCTGCTCGTGCTCCTGCACTTGGAGTAGGTTCCGATCTCTCACCATCCTCTCTTCCTGCAAGGACAGACAGTAATGCAACCAAACAGAGAGTTCCTTCTGCCACTTCAACCCACGTGCCTTTCCCATGATTAGAAACTCCTAGGAGTTGTAAACCCCACAGCACAGGAAACTCAAGCAGCAGTGGCGTAAGCAACATAGTACTTGTAGTAGCTTACTCCTGACTATACCCCGTGTGAAGATACACAACCCAGTAAAACAGGGGAATGCAGGCTCACCAAGGGCTCAGCTGAACTCAGTCACTACAACCTAGGCTCACCAAGGGCTCAGCTGAACTCAATCACTACAACCTGACAATAGTAACATATATATTAAATAACATAGCGGCACATATTTCTCTTTCATGACTCCTTTGCTAGTGGAATTACTGTTCACAAGAGACAACAACAACAGTAACCAAAGCTCTTTGCGTTTTTTTTTTCCAGTTTTGGCCCGAACCACTACTGCTGTCAAACACAGTATCAGACACTAGAATTTTAAACCCTATTTAATAATAACAACGATGCCATTCTTATGGCAACATAACGCAGTGACAGCCCCTGGAGAACAAAACCCACCCTGGGGTAAGGGACCCCTT